CAAAATACATGGAGTAGTGTCGCCGCTCTAACTGGTGTACTAATACATGAGGTAACCTACGTGTGGTGAGGGACACAAATGTATACCTGCAGGTGTCTACCTAAGTTCCCTACCTCTCCAACCCTGCGCCGGATAAATCTGCAAAGACAGAATAAAGTTAACAAACACGCTGGTAAATGATCAAAACAAAAATGTGCCTAAACCACAAAGTTCCAACCAACCACTACAGAATGGCACAGCAACCTAGAACAGTCTGAGACCTTCCACCTTCTCCGGGGGAAACCAAACAAATAAACATATATATATAGGGTGTGGGTGGGAGCTCATTGGTGGATGGCTTGATTGTGTGGCTGATTGCCTGGCCTCAGCTGCAAGCAATGCAGGAAATCACTGCAGGCCCTCAGTGTAGACCTACTAACTGAATGGGGAAAAAACACAGATGAGCCACAGGATCAGAACCAGTAAAACAACACAACAAAGCAGGTCCATGTTCAGAAAACCCCCACCACCCGTAACACTCCCCCCCTCAAATAGCAACCCCCGGTTGATACAAACTGGAGCATATCCGGAATAGCCCGTTTACTCAAGTCAAGGATCACACAATAAATGAGGGAATATGTTAAGTAACATAATCAAGCAACTTTTCAATGGAGTATGATCAAACACATACATTATGTATAAACAAAACTTAATGCTTCGCTAATGAAACTATAAGCTAAACCTGTCCACACCGGGACAGTGCATCTGCTACCACATTGTCTTTGCCCTTTTTGTGGCGGATGACAAGGCGGTAGTTCTGCAGGAACAATGACCATCTCATTAACCTCCTGTTGTGATTATACATTCGATGTATAAAGACTAGAGGGTTGTGGTCCGTGTAGACCACAACCGGCACAGGACTGGATCCCACATATACATCGAAGAACTGCAAAGCTAACAGTAGAGCCAGGGTCTCCTGTTCTACTGTGGAATAACGCATCTGGCACTTGCTGAACTTCTTAGAGTAAAACCCAACAGGATGATCTAACCCATGGTCGTCCGACTAAATCAGAACTGCACCAGCACCAATGCAGCTGGCATCTACTTCCAGTGCAAAGGGGCGGCTAAAATCAGGTGCACTAAGAACTGGGGCACTGCACAAAAGAGCCTTGCAGCTCTCAAAGGCCATCTGACATGAAGCTGTCCACTGAAAAGGAAGTTTGGGACTAACAAGGTCGGTTAAAGGAGCAGCAACAGAAGAGAGATTTCTACAGAAACCCCTGTAGTAGCCGGCCATTCCTAAAAACCGTCGCAACTCTCTCCTAGTGGAAGGAACCGGAAATGAGCTGATGGCAGCCAACTTTGCAGCAAGGGGGCGCACTTTGCCACCACCCACTTGCTTGCCCAAGTAGGTGACTGTCGCCTTCCCAAACTCGCATTTTGCCAGGTTGACTGTTAGGGAGGCGTCAGCCAAACATTGGAAAACTGCTCGGAGAGAGCACACATGTTCCTCCCACTCCGTAGAGTGAACAACCACATCATCCAGATATGCAGTGCAATTTGGAATGTCGCCAAGTACAGTGTTCACCAACTTCTGGAAACAGGCAGGAGCATTTTTCAGGCCAAACGCCATTACAGTGTATTGCAAAAAGGTATCTGGTGTCACAAACGCTGAGATGTCAGAAGCACGAGCTGTGAGAGGCACCTGCCAATACCCCTTGAGCAGATCTAATTTTGTGACAAAGCAAGCGGAACCAATTTTGTCAACACAGTCGTCTATTCGTGGTAGTGGAAATGAATCAGATACTGTGATATTATTAACCTTACGGTAATCAGTGCAAAAACGGAATGTTGAGTCTGGTTTTGGAACAAGTAGACAGGGACTACTCCACGGACTAGAGCTAGGTTTTGCTAGACCATGCTCCAGTAAATACTGAGTCTCCTGTCTCATAGCTGCCCTCTTGACAGCATTCACTCTGTAGGGATGTTGTTTTATTGGACGAGCATCACCAACATCTATATCATGTTCCAGAACATTGGTGCGAGACGGACTGTCTCCGAACAGACACTTAAAATCCAAAATCAAAGACACCAAATCATGTCGCTGGCTGGCACTCAAATGTGGCATCAAACTACAAAGGTCCTTCAACATCTCTGAGTTGGATAACCGAGGAGTTTGTTGCTGGAGTCTACGGGTATCTAAACCGTCCTCATCACTATCCTGGATTTGAGAGCTAGGCACAGCAACACCAACAGTAGCCACTGGAGGCACACTCACGGAACCAGAACTGTCTCTAACATGGTACAATTTCAACATGTTGAGATGACACACGCGTGTTTTTCTCTTACGATCTGGAGTTTTAATAACATAATCGGTTTCACTTAGCTTCCCCTCCACAGCATAAGGACCTAAAAATCGAGCTGACATGGATGAACCCTGGATAGGTAACAAAACCAATACTTGGTCACCTGGTACTAGAGCACGGGAAATTGCTTTCTTGTCGTACCGCCTCTTCATGTTTCTCTGAACTCCAGACAAACTCTCTTTGGCTAGGCTACATGCTCTATGTAGCCGCTCACGGAAACGACTCACATAACTGAGGAGGTTTATCTTTTTTGACAGACCATCACCAATGATTGAATCCTTGAGCACTTTCAGAGGCCCCCTCACAGTATGGCCAAACACTAGTTCGGCTGGGCTGAAACCTAGTGATTCCTGCACTACTTCGCGGACTGCAAAAAGAGCCAACGGGACACCCTCGTCCCAGTCTTTTCCGTGCTCAAGGCAGTACTTACGCAGCACGGACTTGAGGGTACCATGCCATCTTTCCAAAGCGCCCTGCGACTCAGGATGGTAAGCACTGGAGACACGATGAGTGATAGCTAGAGATTTTAAAACCTGTTCAAAGATGCCAGATAGAAAGTTAGTACCTTGATCAGTTTGTACTATCTTTGGCAGCCCGAATGTAGAGAAAAACTTGATCAGGGCCTTCACTACAGACTGCGATGTTACCTTTCTAAGAGGAATTGCTTCTGGGTACCTAGTAGCTATACACATCATAGTCAACAAGTACTGATTTCCATTTTTTGTTTTTGGGAGGGGACCTACACAATCAACCAGGACATGCTCAAAAGCCTCACCTACTGCTGGAATCGGGTGAAGTGGAGCAGGTTGGATAACCTGGTTCGGTTTTCCAACCACCTGACATATCGGACAAGTTCGACAGAAATTAGTCACATCCTTTTTCAGACCTGGCCAGAAAAAATGTCGGAGCACTCGATCATATGTCTTTGCCACTCCCAAATGACCCGCCCACACATTATGAGCCAGGGATAAAACTGACTGTCTGTGTTTTGATGGAATAACTACCTGAACCACAGCACTAGAATCACTATCACCATCACGGCGATCTCTCCACCTCCTCAACAGCAAACCATTTTCAATAAAATACATGGTGTCTTTGTTGTTAGTTGAGTCTGAGTTTTTAATGTCATTGAAATACTTTGACAAACTAATATCAGCTTTTTGTGCCTCGCCGAGGCTGTCACGGGTCATAGGCAAATGTTTAACATCAAACATAATCTCTGGGTTTAACATAGGTTTTGCATATTTACTATTCTCAGAATCATGACTGGGGAGAGAGGGTGAAAATGCCTGATCGCTTAGACCGTCAGCAAACACAGCGTCTGATAAATCAACTGCATCACCCAGCTTACGGGCCTGCGCGCGTGTAACTGCGCATACCGGAAACACATCAGGGTAGGATCGCCCAAGAACATCCGGCTGTGACACGTCAGGTTGATCGAACACCTCTAGAACAGGTGTAACCTTTCCACCAGCTATGTCGTTTCCCAACACAAATGTAACCCCTCGCATGGGCAACGAAGGACGAACCCCAACTGAGAAATCACCACTCACTAAATCACAAGTCAGGTTCAAACGGTGCAGAGGTACAGAAATATAACTCATACCTATCCCCTGGACTAGTACGCTAGAGTGACATGAAGACTCTTCAGAGAAAGGCAAAACATCAGACAAAAAAACACAACAAAGCAGGTCCATGTTCAGAAAACCCCCACCACCCGTAACAGGCTCATTCTAAGGTCACTAAAACACAACGATTCTTATTTCCATGGGATTATACACTAATTAAAACATACTTATGAATATTATATTCAATTTCTTCCAAGTCCGTTCCGCTGGATGCCACAAAATTCTACACACTGCACCTTTAAAGTAACGAGAGTGTTACTTTAGTGTCTCACCTTCACCTGGAAACCGTATGACGTTCAGAAGTAAAGCCTACAAACCCCTTTAATTGTTTTCTTCTTTCAGGCCAAAACCAAAGCCCACGAGGAGGAGCTGGAGCACCACGCTCAGTTCCTATTGGTCAACTTCAACCACATCCACAAAAGGATCCGCAGGGTGGCGGACAAGTACCTGTCTGGCCTCGCAGAGACGTACGATACACTGTCATACACCACATCACTTCTTTCAGAAGGATCATGCTCATCAAATTAAATGCATCTCTCCCTCTCTCTATCTCTCTTCTATCTATATGTCTATCTCTTCCTTTGTTCTCTCTTTCCTAACACCATCTCTTCCTTCTCTCTTTCTGTTTCTTTCTGTCACTACTTTTTTCTTGCTGTATTTATCTAATATTTTCTTTCTTTCGTTCTTTCTTTCGTTCTTTGCCCCCCTTAGTTTCCCTCACTTGTTGTGGAGTGGCCGAGTGTTACGGACCATGCTGGACATCCTGCAGACACTGTCCCTCTCCCTCAGCGCAGTAAGTCAAACAAATTAACAAACTGAACAAAGTTGGTCTTCCACAACTTGACATGAACATGGATGCCAATGTTGTGTTTTTGTTTTTTAGGACATTCATAAAGATCAACCGTACTACGACATCCCAGACACACCCTATAGGATCACTGTACCAGATACATATGAAGCCAGAGAGGTATGCTTTTTATCTCTTTTTTTCCCACCATTATGGATCTCTCATTGGTCAATTATTGTCTAGCTCAACCAGTAGAGGATGGCATTCACAATGCCAGGGTTGGGGGCTCAATTCCCACTGGGGCCACTCATGCTAAGAATGTATGTGCTCATGGTATTGTACGATGCTTTGGATAATAATATCCACTAAATGGGCCTTATTCACCTATAGCGGCCATCTTGGTTCCACGGTGAACAAATTATTCTGATTCAGTTCCCTCACCCAGCTAGCATTTACAACCAAGATGGCCACTAGGTGAATAAGGCTCATGGCATATTTATTAATTTTAGTATTTTTTTTGCAATTCTTAAGAGACGATGAGATGTGACAGTTTTGTCACTGTAAACACATCATGTATACTGCATATATCTATGGTTTCTAGAGCATAGTGAAGGACTTTGCTGCTCGCTGTGGGGAGATCCTGAAGGAAGCTATGAAATGGGCACCGTCTGTCACCAAATCCCACCTGCAGGTACACATCCAGCTCTGTTCTGAAATCTGTTTATGTTCATGGTTGGCATAGTCTTAATTGTCTCTGGTCTAGTTCAAGGTTTTAACACAAGTTGAACTACAAGTTAAGTACTATGATTTTTGTTTTAATGGGGTTTGGATGCCACAGGTAACACTGCAAACTTGGGCGTTGGGGTTGTATCCTAAATTGTTTGTAATTTTTTTTTCCTAACTACTGATATATTGTATGTTCTTTTTAGGAGTATCTGAACAAGCATCAGAACTGGGTGTCGGGTCTCTCCCAGCACACAGGCCTTGCCATGGCCACAGAGAGTATACTGCACTTTGCTGGCTACAACAGACAGAGCACAACACTGGGGGTGCGTAATGAATACGATTATAATGATCTGAGGGAACCTTGTGTTAGTTTACTGTATGTCATTATTAGTGTTGTAAAATGATTTAATTGGTAACAGTAGTAGAAGGCCATAAAATAATTTTTAAATCAATAAAATCATTTTTTGTTATATTTTGGGTCAAATTATTATTATATCTTTAGTAAGTAGCCATGTAATAAGCGGGATAATGTACAGCGAGCCGGTCATTATTGCGAAGTAAACCCCGACAGGGTGATGCAAGGACCTCAATGTGAAAAGGATGGGTCTTGAATCACCTTGAAGTACCCCGTACATTATCCCTTGTGTGTCGTTACTCCCGATTCCTTCTCATTCATTCCTCCCATTGTTCCTATAGTCTACCCAGCTCACTGAAAGACCCACCTGTGTGAAGAAGGACTACTCTAACTTCATGGCCTCTCTTAACCTCAGGAACAGATATGCGGGAGAGGTAAGCGATAGCCAAGTGATCACTGTGATGCTAAGTGCAAATACTAAACGTGTGTTTCATCATGCTTATCTCTCTCCTCTCACTCTTTTGTGTTTCTTTGTTCTCTGCAGGTCTCGGGAATGATCCACTTCGCCCAGGCGGTGCGGGGTAACTCGGATCTCAGCCGGCTGATGGTGAAGCTGATGGGGGAGGCGCTGGACACCGGGCAGCCCGAGGCCTTCACCGAAGCCATGTTCAAACTCGCTGCCTTGCTCATCAGCACCAAAGGTTTTCCATCCCTTTTTCACCTCCCTGTTTGGTAATGTTTTACAAAGTAGGTGTTGTTGGTCAAAATGTTTTGCTCCACTCTAGCTCAACTGGTATAGCATGGTATATGGCTTGGGTTAAGGGTTCAATTCCCACTGGGGGCCACCCATGCTCAATGTGTGTATGCACGGTATTGTGAGACGCTTTGGATTAAAATATATATACAATTTATAGTTACGTTTATGTTTTGTACCAAATGCAAACAATGCACTTTCAATGTAGATGCATGTCATTGTAACCCTGTCTTGTCGTGTTTGGTGTTGCCGCTGTTCCACCAGACTTTGACCCCCAACTCCTGCACCATCTCTGCTGGTCCCCCATCAAGATGTTCACCGAGCACGGCATGGAGACGGCTGTCGCCTGCTGGGAGTGGCTGCTGGCAGCGCGCGCCGGGTTCGAAGTTCCAGTAGGAAAACCCTCTTTTAATGTCTGGCTTTTCCTGTCCTCTGTCTTTTAAAGGGCCCCCATTTTACCACCGAATGTGAGGCTAGAGTTTACCGATCGTCAGACTTTGTTGTGGACACACATTTGGGATTTCACAAGTGGATTGATTTAGAAATGGCTTGTAATGTTGAGTAAAGGGTCCTTTTAAATTAACTTTTAGAATAAAATCGTAATCGTATGGGGACTCATATCGTAGCATGAGGTCTCTGCCGATTCCCGTCCGTAATATTGATGCATCCATGTACGTCAACCCCCTCCCCTCTCTCTTTCTTTGTGTTGTGTAGTTTATGCGGGAGATGGCAGGAGCGTGGCAGATGACCGTGGAGCTGAAGATGGGGTTGTTTTCAGATGCCCAGGTGGAGGCTGATCCCCTGGCTGCCTCTGAGGAGAGCCAGCCTGTCCCCTGCCCTCCGGATGTCACCCCGCACTACATCTGGATTGAGGTAAACCACTACCGTGTGTTTGTGTGTTTATTTCACGTTGGAGACACCAAGACACATTCTGCTGAATTTCCGATAGTCGTTCCATATTGGGATCCACTGATTTTTTTACAGTTAACTATAGGCTAGAATTGTCAATTTTTTCACAAATTTGTTTAAAACACAGATCTATATGAAACCTATTACTATATTATGGAAGATAGTGGAAGAGTTCACGTGATCCGCTCCTGCAATTAACACATTTTAAATTGATCAGACCAACAACCAATCACATTTTTACAGCGTATATCAGCCGATAATGATTGGTGGTCGATCGATCTGTGCATCACTAGTTCCATAGCATTTACACTCACTCATCGCTTCCTAAATCTGCAGATCTTCTCCTTAAGTGTTGTTGTACCCATTTACCCAATACCTAGTAATCTAGAGAAGAAGCGGCCATCGACTTGGCTTCAGACTGAGGATACATCAGTGTATCTTACACAGGAAGTGCTTTCGAGGTTTTTCAACTACGTCGTTAGACATACACCCATAAAGCAGGTTGTCTGAAGTTTTGCGTTTGGCACAGATCTTCAACTGTCACCATCGTCTTCAGTGATTTTAATGAAGCAGCTCAGCTCGACCACTGGCTGCTTTTCTCATCAAGGGTATAGTGAACGAGCAATGGGAAAGAAGGAGGACGTAGGAAACACTGCCTTAATAGACGAGATGCCTCATACTCCTTCTCCTTCGTAGTTTCTAGTGCAGCGGTTTGAAATAGCAAAGTACTCGAGTGCGGATCAGGTGGAGATCTTTGGCAGTCTCCTCCAGCGCTCGCTGTCTCTCACCGTGGGCGGGAACAAGAGCAGCCTGAACCGCCACGTAGCCGCCATCGGACCCCGCTTCAGGTACACACGCACGTGCACACACACACAGTTGGCCTGCCATATATGTTTTCCTTGTTTTAGTCAATATTAAAACTGTTCTGTGTTTACGATCATTTAATATTATTATTTTTTGTTATGTTTATACATTACCTTAATTGTAGGGCAGGATATTGTAGTGGCTAGTGTGTTCAAAGGTCACAGCCTACCTTTTAGCATCCTTGAGCAATATGCCCTAACCCACTACCTGCTCCTTAATGACATGTATCTGAATTCAGTGAAAATCACTTTGGATAAAGTTGTCTGCTCAATTACTAATAATAGTAATTGTAAATACTTGTGCCTTTGCAATTTCTATGCTTACTATTTAGTGTGCCAGAACAGCATTTACATTTTTTTAATGCACATGTGGCATTTCTTAAAAAAAGGCTTCCTTGTTTAAATCAATGTTTGAATTGTTCTGTGTTAATAATTGTAATTCATATTTGAATTGGTCTGTGTTAATAATTGTAATTCATATTTGAATTGTTCTGTGTTCATAATTGCAACGTCCCGCAGGCTGCTGACTCTAGGACTGGCTCTGCTCCACTCGGATGTGGTCACCAATGCCACCATTAGGAACGTCCTCCGAGAGAAGATATACTCTACTGCTTTTGATTACTTCAGGTACTGATGACACAAATATGTTTGCGCATACATAATAATAATAATAATAATAATAATAATAATAATAATAATAATAATAATAATGGATTTTATTTAAAAAAGCGACTTTCAGGTCACTCAAGGACACTGTACAAGAATACATTAAAATATACAAACACAGGATAAAAACACAGGATAAAATAGACATAATATGGAATGATCAACATAATAAGATAAAACAAATAGGGCAAGTATGGCAGTAGACAGTATGGATTATTTTGACAGAGAATCAGAGGGAGTATGCAGTCCGGAACAGGTGGGTTTTGAGTCTTGATTTGAAAAGGGGGAGAGAGTTTTAGTGATGTTTTTGTTTTTTTTTAGTGATAGTAAATTGCATAATCATTTCAGAGATAGATTGTACATTTGGTCTGCACAATTAATTGCATATTAATCTAAATCACGATTTTGGCCTCTGCAATTAACTCATCGTGAAAGGTTGCAATTCATTTAGAAAAAGATTATACAATTATAAAAACAGATAATTTGCACACCCATTACATTAAAATCAAATTACAAACCGTTACAACTCAGCAATTGGGTTATTATTATTGTTTTTTCATACAGTAGGGGCTACAGAATATTGTATCAATAATCTGTTAATGACAATGAATAATCGCCATCATAATATCAGAACTATCATTTTTGTCATAATTGTGCAGCCGTATTGTACATCTCAACAAAGTGCACAAGAGCATCTCAGAGCTCTTCTGAGATGCTCGAAGAGGAAGAGGCTCTATTCCTTGTCCCTCTGTCTGGTCACACCATTGACATATGACATTCCATACTGACCTGTAACCTTGCTCTCTCCGCCCCCTGTCCCCAGCGTGGCTCCGAAGTTCCCCACCCAGGGCGACAAGCACCTGCGGGAGGACATCAGCATCATGACGCGCTTCTACGCCAGTATCCTCTCGGACAAGAAGTACCTGGCCGCGTGCCACCTGGTGCCCCCTGGTGAGCTCTGCACTACCCCCGCCCAGAGCAGCCTCTCTGCCGGGATATTCGGATCGCTAATCGTGTCCAGCACCTCTCCGAT